GAAAATTCCCAGGAAGGCAAAGAGGAACAGGTTCCAAGATCACCAATGTGAACTTTGACTACTGATCAGTGTGGGTGTCTACAATCCACTTTCTGACACCGCTGAAGAGTCCAGGCTAAGCCCCACAGATCCACAGCCCTAACACCCTGACTTGGGGAGAGGTGGAGTCCAGGGCTCTCTGGGGTAGGCCTGCCCTGTCTTTATGGCCCTGGCCAAATCTGATTAGGTTTCTAGATTTAAGGGGCTGCATGAGGGCAGCTTGATTAGATTTTTGATTTTTTTTTTTAAGTAACAAAAGTGGTGCATTGTTTGGAATGCATATGGATATTGTCTTTGGGGCAATGGAAATATGCCATATTAACATTGACTTTATTAACATAAAGCTCAGATGGACATCCAGTCTGGTTGGAAGCACTGAGCTAGCACTCAGGATTCCAGTCAAGCCAGGTGACCCTGGACAAGGGTTTTCCCCCTCTCTGGACCACAGCTGTCTTCTCATATTGCCTTAAGGGTCTAACATACAGGGGTGTCCAATCATTTGGCTTCCCACATTGGAAGACAAAGGATTGTCTTGGGCCACACATAAAATACACTAACACTAATGATAGCTGATGAGCTTAAAAAAAATTTGCAAAAAAAAAAAATCTCATAATGTTTTAAGAAAGTTTGTTGTACAAGCTTGGATTCTAACAGAATTAGCAGTACCATGGGAATGTAAGGCTCTAGCCTTAAGTCAGTATGCTATAAGGTGAGCAAGGCCATCTAAGGAGTATAGTCACAGTCCAGCCAAACACCCCAAATTTACCAGAAGGCTGTAGTCATGCAGAGCTTTGGTGTCCCTGGACCTGCTAGGTAGCAATGCTTGTTAAGGTTGGCTCTATGCCACCCAGTCCACGCCCTGCATACAACCCCAAGCTGCACGAAGCCGAAACACTATCAAGAAATGCCAAGTGTTCTCCATCCTGGATGCAAACCAGAATCACCTGAGAACTTTAAAAAAAGAAAAGAAAAAACAGAGAAATCCCAGGCTCCACCCCAACCAATTAAAGACTAATCATAAGCCACAGGCCTCTTTTAAAAGCCCACAGGTGATTCCCATGTGCAGGTAGGTGACAGTCTGCCCTGATACAGGAGTATTTAACTCCCAGGGCTCCTGGGCAGACTGTCTCTGAGAAGTTCTCATGTGTTTCCATTTTGATGATGATATATTTTTATCAGTTCTAGAAATAAATCTTTTTGTTGGGATAATTCACAGTAGAACTTTTGTTTCCTGAGCTGATGCCTAATAGAATGAAGTCAATAAGAATATTCCAGGGGGTCATAAAAGTTTTGCTGTTTGTTGTTTTGTTTGTTTGTTTTTGAGATGGAGTTTTGCTCTTGTTGCCCAGGCCAGAGTACAGTGGCATGATCTCAGCTCACTGCAACCTCCGCCCCCTGGGTTCAAGCAATTGTCATGCCTCAGCCCCCCGAATAGCTGGGATTACAGACACACACCACCGTGTCCGGCTAATTTTTTTTTTTTTTTTTTTTGAGACAGAGTTTCGCTCTTGTTACCCAGGCTGGAGTGCAATGGCGCAATCTCGGCTCACCGCAACCTCTGCCTCCTTGGTTCAGGCAATTCTCCTGCCTCAGCCTCCTGAGTAGCTGGAATTACAGGCACGCGCCACCATGCCCAGCTAATTTTTTGTAGTTTTAGTAGAGACGGGGTTTCACCATGTTGACCAGGATGGTCTCGATCTCTTGACCTCGTGATCCATCCGCCTCAGCCTCCCAAAGTGCTGGGATTACAGGCGTGAGCCACTGTGCCCGGCCCCAATTTTTGTATTTTTAATAGAGATGGAGTTTTACCATGTTGGTCAGGCTGGTCATGAACTCCTGACCTCAGGTGATCTACCCACCTCAGCCTCCCAAAGTGCCAGGATTACAGGTATGAGCCACTGAGCCTGGCCCCTGAGAGATTTTTAGAAAAAATAGAATTCACATATTTACTGCCATCTGAAAAATCTTGGAGAGTATGATCTGGAACTGAAACTGTGGAAGAAACGTCCAAGTAACAGGCTTTGCAAGCAGAGAGAGTTTGATCTGTTACCTGAAATGAAGGAGGAAACGTGCTGAAAAGGAGCCCCAGGCAATGGAGGAGAAATTAAGATGGGAAACCCAGGAGTCAGGGTGGGGATGCAACAACGTTCCTCAAACGGGAAACCCCAGGTGCAAAAGCTCAGAAGAAAAGAAAGCAGGCTCTTTCCAAAACTGTGAGTGTTGACTGTTGTGTCCTTCTATGTAGGCAAGTATCAGCTGGGAAGGCATCAAGGGTGTTGGCAGAAATTAGGTAGGGCAGAGTTCATATGGGAGCTGTTAGTTTGCTGGGGCTGCCATAACAAAGAACCACAAGCTGAGGGGCTTGAATAACAGAAATGTATTGTCGCCCCCCAGTTCTGGAGGCTGAAAGTTCAAGATGAAGGTGTCAGCAGGTTGGTTCCTTCTGAGTTATATGAGGGAGAGAATCTGTTCTAGGCCTCTCCCATAGCTTCTGGCGGCTTGCTTGTCATTCACTGGCAATCTCTGCCTTCACGTTCACAGGATGTGTGTGTCTCTCTGTGTGAGTCTCTGTGTTCAAATTTCCCCTTTATATAAGAATATTAATCATATTGAACTAGGGCCTACCCTAATGACCCCATTTTAACTTTATTACCTCTGTAAACACCCTCTCTCCAAATAAGGTCATGTTCTGAAGGACTAAGGGTTAGGATTCTAACATATCTTTTTGTGGGGCCCATATTCAACCCATATCAGTGTCCATCTGCTATAGTTTAAATGTTTGTGTCCCTCCAAAAGTCATGTCAAAACTTAATCCCCAATGTGGTAGTATTAAGAGGTAGGGCCTTTCGGGAAATGATTAAATCATGAAGGCTCCACCTTTGTGAATGTCCTTGTAAAAGAGGCTCCACAGAGCTGCCTGGCCCTTCTGTCTCATCTGCTATGCATTCATCCTTTGTTGTCCCCTTTTACCATATGAGAACACAGCAAGACGGTACCATTTTGGAAGCTGAGAACATCCCAGCTCCGACACTGAATCTGCTGGTGCATGATCTTGGACTTTCCAGCCTTTAGAACCGTGAGAAATAAATTTCTGTTCTTTATAAATGGCCTAGTCTCGGGTATTATATTATAGCAGCACAAATGGACTAAAATACCACCCTTGCATATCCAGCTTTGGTGCTTGGATTCCACCTAAATTCTTAATCCTCTCCACGGTGTTATTCTCTTTAAATACAGCCCAAATTACATGATAGCCTTCCTCACCTGCTTTTTTGTCTTAGTGCTTTTGATCATTTGTAATTATGTAGGCATTTGTAGGTAACCCTTGCCTGTGCCCCATGGGATCATCAGTCCATGAAGCAGGGAAGGAGGGTATTTTGCTCACTATTGTACCCTCAAGGCTGGAAGAGCTCTAGCACATTGTAGCAACGTAAAAATGAATGTGAAGAGTAAACCAACACGTGAATAATGCACCTGAAGGCAGTGAGGAACCACCCACAGGATTAAATCTGAGAAGGACTTTAGGAAATGGGGGAGACTGATGTGGAGGGAGACGCAGTGGCCCAGAGAGAGGTGATGCTAACCCCAGGAGAAGGGCAGGAGGAGTGAAGGGAGGGGACAGATACAGAACATGTTAAGGGGAGGACTGGGAATGATGGCTCATGCCTACGGACACCAGCACTTTAGGAGGCAGAGGCAGGAGGATCTCTTAAGCTCAGGAGTTCAAGACAAGCCTGGGCAACATAGTGAAACTCCATCTCTACAAAAAATACAAAAATTAGCTGGGAGTGGTAGAACATGCCTGTAGTCTCAGCTACTCAAGAGGCTGAGCTGGGAGGACCTCATGATCCTGGGAGGTGGAGGTTGCAGAAAGCCAAGATTGCACCACTGCATTCCAGCCTGGGTATTGGGGTGAGAGCCTGTCTCAAAAAAACAGAAAGTGTTAAGAGGAGGGACTAATAGGTTTCAATAGGCCTCAAGGACAACCAAAGGAGGACCCACACCACCCCCATTCCCTGGGCAGCTGCTGTGCCGGCTGGCAGGGCTCACTCAGACCCTGACCTCCCACCTGCCAAACATGTGGTCAGCAAATGAGTCTTCCCACAGGTGCTGACCTTGGCTTCCTTCCCACAGTAGAGACCTGGCAGCTTGGGCCTTCTTGGTGCCATGGGCAGGCAAGTGGGAGTGAGTGTGTGCTGCTGGTGGCGGCCTGGGGGGCCCAACTCCCTGCCTTGAGCCACCCTGTGGAAGAGACCAGGCAGGCTTGGGACTGCTTAGGAGCACTCAGTGTGTCTCTCCTCAACTACTGGTGACTGCGGCAGGGGTACCCAGCCCCCTCTGGAGAGCAGCTTGGTGCCAGGACAATGTTCCTTGATGAGCTTAGATTTTATCTATTTCACAGACCCACAAACTGACCTGCAGGAGGGAGACAATAGCACCACAGTAGGAGGGGAAGCCCAGAGGTCAAGTCACTACTCTTCCATTCACCCTCACTCTAAGCCCTTTAACCTTTCTGGGCCTCTGTTGTCTCAGCTGTAAAATGGGAATTAAATAAGACTCTCTATTTTTTTTTTAATGTTTTACAGTTCTAAGGGGTTGGATTTGATCACTGCCATTTATCTGAGGACAGCTTCTAAACCACCACCACCTGACTCCTTTCCCATTCTCAGCTCTCCCGTGGCCCTTATCACCTGCCCTTGGGACTATATCCCCCAGATGTGTTTGTTCAGTTTATTCCTCATTACCTTGGACATCATTACGTCCTGTGTGATTTCTTATCCCCTTTAGAAAGGGGGTTTAAATGAGGTGCTCCTTCAGGGTGACTGTTGCTTGAATAGAAAGGCAACATCCTTTCTCTAGGTTGCAGTTTCCAAAATTTCTTGTGGGGTCCCAGATTTGAACACAACCTCGGAAGAAGATCACCTACATACACCCTTACCTGCTGCTTGACTTCTCCTGACCTCTACTCAGGTTGTACTGTCATTTAAGTGGGGCAGAGAGCTCATTCCCCACCAACAAAACTCCATTCTATTTTCCAACGAGTCTAAGTTCTGGAAAGTTTTTCCTTACACTGAGCAAATCTGCCTCAGTGAGTCCTTCCAGGGCAGGGGTGGCTGTGATCTGACTTGGCACTCAGAACAGAGTCTGAATAAAACAGACCGGGAAATAACAATAATTGCTTCTTGCCTAAAGGAACTGTAACCTCCTCTTTTTTTCTAGCTCTGCTCTCTGGGGTGGATGTTGACCAGATGATATGCCACTGGCCACAGTGAGTTTTTTTTGACTATTTGTGGCTGGAGCCAGGTGAGGATGATGATGGGACCCACAGGTTATCTGAAAGTGCCTTAGCTAAACCTCACCAAAGGCTACCAGCAAGCCACAGAATGGGTTGGCTACTGCATGGGTGACAAAACCAAAATCAAAGAACTACACAATCCAAAACCCTCTCCTAAGAAAGACAGAAATCCTTGTTAGGAATATAAAGTCAGAAAAGGAAGGTACCTAGCTAATCCCCTAAAATGGACCACAGGCCTCTGAACAACTGTAATCATTCTCTCTCAGGGGGAGTCCAGTGCCCAACTGCACCTCTCAGAGCCCAGGGAATAAATACTCCAACCTCTTCCTCCTCCCACCGTCCCATCTGCTGATATCTACCATTGGCTGAACCCAATCAGAAGGCCAAGAGCCAAGTAGCCCAGGGATAAGGCCCATAAAGGCAGCCTCAGGGCACAGAGCAGAGAGGAAGAAGAAGGGAGACTACATCTGGGGATACAAATAGGATCAGCTCATCACCAACCTAATGAACTAATGAATCATTAACTTTTGAGACAGGGTCTCCGTTGCCCAGGCTGGACTTAACTCTTGGGTTCAAGTGATCCTCCTGCCTCCTTAGCCTCCTGAGTAGCTGGGACTACAGGCACACACCACCATATCTGGCTAAAATAAGCCATTAACTGTTAATTCCCCATGTTCACATCTGGCAAGTATTTTTTGATTACCTGCTACGTGGCAGATGATGTGCTAGGCTTTTACAACACAGTAATGACTACACAGACCTTGACCCTTTTGTCAAGACAAGGCTTAAACAAATTATGGAAATGTCATTATCAATTGACATACTCCCTATGAAAGCAAAGATAAGGAACATGACAAGAGATGTTAAGGAAGTTTGGGTTTCCACTTGAGGTTTGAAAAAGGCTTCTTTGTAAGCTGAACCCTGAGGGATGACTTTGATTCAGACAGGGAAAGGGGATAGTGTCAGGAAGAGGAAATAGAATGTGTTAAGACCCTGAGATGGGCACTTTCAAGAGAACAGTTGGAGTTCAGTGAGCAAGAAAGACACACAGGTAAGGTCAGGAAGGAAGGCCACGGTAAGGAGTTTAGATGTTTTCCCAAAAGCTACTGGCAGCCACTGGTCCCATGCCATGGGCCTAGGGCCTCATTCAGCCTGATGTTGTCAATCCAGGCTCCTCAGTGGGGTCACTTATGCACATCAGTGTCTGGCCGTAGACCTGACCTCCTCTCTCAGCTGCTGAACACCTCCAGGGGCAGTGAGAGGTGACAACAGGCTTTGGATTCACTGAGGCATAGGTGAGCCCATTCAGGCTTCATCATCACTACAGATTCCAGAAACCTTGACTTTTCTTTTCTTCTTTTTATATTTACTTTATTTTTATTTTATTTTTTTTATTTTATTGGGGACAGAGTCACTCCATTGCCCAGGCTGGAGGGCAGTAGCAAGATCACAGCTTCTTGCAACCTCCGCCTCCTGGGTTCAACCAACTCTCATGCTTCAGCCTCCCTAGTAGCTGGTTCTACAGCCATGTGCCACCATGCCCAGCTAATTTTTGTATTTTTAGTAGAGATGGGGTTTCACCATGTTGGCCAGGCTGGTCTTGAACTCTTGGCCTCATGTGATCTGCCTGCCTTGCTGGGATTACAGGCGTGAGCCACCACACCCAGCCAGCAACCTTGACTTTTCTTAAATTCATTTGAGATAAGAAAGTTCATTTCTTGGCTTCCCTCAGCTCCACACTGCTCCAGCCTCAGAATTCTCAGAAGGGAGTTTCAAAAAAAAAAAAAAAAAGCGATTTTTCTACACTTGAAACCCTCAGGAAATTGCTGGCAACCTGTGCTTCTGGGGTTGATCAAAAGGCAGGTGTGGAATAGGTAGTAGCTAGAGCTCCCATCCAGCTGCTGGTGGGAATCACGCTGATTCGACCAGTTTGGGAAACTGCTCGGCAGCATCTCCTGAAGCTGAACACACTCCAGGACCCTCACAATACTCCTGAACATAAACCTGAGGGAAATGAGTGCATACGTCCACCAAAAGACCTGCACTAGACTAGAATGTCCTTAGCAGTAGTGTTCAGAATAGCCCCAAATTGGAAAATTCTGTTGTCCATCAACAGCAGAATGGATAAACAAATTGTGCTATATTCTTACAGAAATATATCAATACTACATAGCAACAAAAAATAACTAGTGATACATGTAACAACATGAATGAATCTCAAAAATGTCTTGTGGCGGGGAGAAAAGCAAGATGCTAAAGAGTACCTACTGTATCGTTCCATTTAAATTACATTCTAGAGCAGACAAAATGAACCTGTGATGATAGAAATCAGAGTATTGTTATAAGAGTGGTGATGGTGGTAGAAAGATCTGGCTGCTGGAAATGTTTTATATCTCGATCTAGGACATATACATGGGAGTATATATTTGACAAAATTCACTAAACTGTACTTACACTTTAAACTTAATATGTAAGCACTTTAAATGGATGTGTATCTAAATTACACACCCATTTAAAACATGGCAGGGTGGCACCTGGTTATTCGCCCACGTTCTTCTGTAGCAGTGAAGCAAAGAAGATCCCTCCGCTTCTTATCTGCAGGTCGAGGTACAGTCTGTGCGGCTCAGAAATACTTTTAAAATAAACTATGTTATTTCTAAACAAAGTTGTATTTGAACACTGTTCATTTTATTCTTTGTTGCTTCGTCTGTGAGGTTGCCTTCATTTTTATCCTCTGTCTTGATTCACTAATAGGGAAGGCAGCTCTCCACCTAACCCACCCCCAAAGTAAGCGAGGTGTGTGTCTTCGAAAACAGTCAGTTCCACTGAGCAGCAAGTCTCCCGACTTCCCAACCCTGCAGTCTGTCAAGAGCAACAAGACGACCTGATGAGTTTGGAGGTGCATGTGTCCAAAGGGATTTTGTTCCAAGGTGTGATGCATGACATGGTGTTTCACTGTTACCACTTTGGGAACACAATCTCTTGGCAACTAAACCTGTAAACTCAGGTTAACAGAGCTCTTTTCCTTCCCCATAGTCGGTTTTCCTTTCCTTGAATCTCACTTTATAAACATTGCTCCTCCTGGGGTTGAGCTGGTTTTATGTGTTTATGATAACTTAGGTTCAAAGCGCCCACATGCAGTGCCCTATCTATCCTGCCCTGCCCTTTCCTCTAGAGAGTCCAAAGGATAAATCCTGGTTATAAAAGGCCACAGCCAACCTGCTGGGCTGTGAGTGGAAGCTCTGGTGCAGCATGGTAAGTCAGGGCCCTGCATGGGCAGGGGACTTGCCAGGGCTGAGGCAGCGGGGGCTACAAGAGGGACATGGCCCAGAGGTGGGGAAACCACTACAGTGGAGCCCCGGAGTCTGGGGTCCTAGCGTGCTGCTGTCCAACTTCACTGGGAGGACTCAGCCTCAGGTCCCTGCCTTAAGGGAGAGCCCTGTGGGGCGTGGGTTGCTGGGCATCTGTTCCACTTACTGTCTGTGTGACCCAGGCTCCTGCCTTGGCTGGGTCCTGCCCCTGCCAGCTTCACTGTGCACGGAGGTCTATGTGTATCTGTGTTTCCATCCATGTAGATGCTGCCCTCTTGGATCCTTGGCCTTCTCCTGCTGGCCACAGTCAGAGGTGAGGATGCTATCACAGTTCCTTTGGGAAGAAAGTGACATGCCTGGGCTGGCCTTTGGTGAGGCAGCTAGAGGTATATTAATAATTATTATCATGATTATGAAGAGCATTATTGTTACTTTGAGAAAACTGTGCTACTCAGAAAGTGTTGACTCTCAGGCAGATACAGGTCAATGTGTTGGACACGGAGTATCTCGGGCAACCCTCCTGCCCGGCCCCCTTCTTCCTGCAAAGGCTCTTGCAGCTGGGAGACAAGCGGAGGGTGGATGTTCCCACTGGGTCCCAATGCCTTTGTTCCTGCCTGCAGACCAAAGCCATGTGGATGTGACCCCTACCAAGAAAGCCTGGCCAGCCTGCCCATCCTGCCATCGTGTCCATGTGTCCTCTTCTGTCTCTCCAATTTGTTCCCCTGACCTGGCTCTGTCCAGAGGAGATACAGATATTCAAGTTCTACCTACCCTAAAACACAAATCACCTCCCTTTCTTTTGGAGCCCCCCAGATCCCAGCCTGCTTACGTCCCATCTGCCTATGTCTTCACAGGGGTGCTCCTTCCAGGAGCCTTTCCCTCCCTGCAGGGGCTGCCTCACCCCCTCTCCTACCAGAACTCCTCACTGCCCAGCTTGGCCTCCCAAGCCCTGCTGTAGCAGACATGGTCTCCTTGGGTTCCTGTGGGGGCTTTCTTCTGTCTTGTGACTCTTTCCCCTTATCTTCTCAACCCCTCCAGCCCACTCTTGGCCTCTCCTTCCACCATGGCCATGATTTATGACCTGGCTCCTGATGGCAGAGCCCAGGGTGGGTTCGACTGTTCCTCAGGCCTTACAACCCCTCTTCATCTCCTTTGCTGACCTGCAGCCTCCTCCTGCCCCAAATGTGGACATTCTCCAAGGCTCGCACCAGGCTCTCTCCTCATCTCTCTCCTCCTAGGGCCTTCCCTCTTGCCCAGCTTCTGGTCCTCCCGAGTTGCAAGAAGCCCCATCAGGGCCAAGGCTCAAACTCACTGTCCCAAACCAGGATATGGACACCAGCCTGTTCCCCCATGCCCCCAGCTCTACTGAGTGTCCACCATCATCCTCATCACCTAGGTTAGAATGCCCATGCCCAGAGTGGGCCCTCCCCTCTCCAGGCCCACCCCTACAACTGCCCATCCCCACCTCTACTCTTACTTCCCTGCCCCTAGCCTCCTCAGGCTCTCCTGCTTCTCAGCCCCTTGTACTCAAGCCCCCAAAACACCTTCAGGAATCACAGCACCACTGCCACCACCACCTCCTCTCACCCTCACCAACTCATACCTTCCAACGCCTTCCTTCTCTCCACCTAAGAGAGCCCAAATGTCTTGTACTCGAGCCCCTTCATTTAACCCGCTACCTTTCCCCTGGGGCAAATATTGCTTGAGCCTCCTATAGCCCACCTCCAAGGGTACACCCTCTTCCCGGAATGAATTCACCACTATCAGAATTGCTTCCTGATTAGAGCTCCTCTCTTTCAGGACAGGGTTCATATCTCATTTGTCTTTGAGTCTTGGGTTCAAATCCTGCCTCCACCACTGGCTGTGACCTCCGGTAGCTTACCTTGTCTCTCTGTGCCTTGGTTTCCTCAGTGGTAAAATGGAGAAATACTAATTCCATATTTGT